ATTATTTGCAAAAGGTGGGGGGGGGGGGGGGGGGAAGCAAGCAACTGAGCAAAGCTCCATGCTATTTCATACATGTAGACTGCACCTAAAATGTAAGCTATTACATTTTTCTCACCTTTCTTCTGGAAGCTACTACATGTACTGGCAGAAACAACACCTCTGCATGCTCTGAACCAGCACTCACTGGCATAAGCTTTTTGTTTTGTTGAACTGTCACAAGTAGTAACCAGGGCTGCAATGACATGTGTGTTTTAGCCAAACCAATAGGCAACCATCTTAGCAAGGTCTGTTGAGTGGAGAAGAGAGAAGTGGCAAGAGTTAGGTGAACCACAGAAAAAGTAAAGAGAAAAAAAGTAACAGGAGAGGGAAAAAAAACTTAAGTGGAGAAGAAGGAGAAACAAAAGCAAATTGCAAGTATAGACCAACAGAGCAAAAGCAACAAGAGAAACTAGGAAGGAGTGATTTTGAAGAAGGAAGCATCTGGAAACCCTAACACACTTCTCAAAGCTTGTTAAAAAAAGCAGCTACGCTAGACCAAGTAGATAGGCAGAAAACACTACCCTTCTACAGACAAACAAACAATTTCCTCCTCATCCAGAGGAACAGAGACATTTCCCCAATGACTTCTCTCCTCCGAAATAGCATCTACAAATGCATTTCAAGCACCAGATAAACAAAGCCTCTTGCACGTTATCCCTAAGATTAATGCTTTTGGTCAGGTTTTTTTCCTATGGAAACAGCTTGCATGATCACAATGCGTTTCCTTCCTCCCTCCGATATCTTTTGACTAGGCGGTCCAACTTCAAGACAACCTCTATGACAATTAAGGCCCTACAGATTCCTGAAGATCCAGTTAAAAATTAGTGCCTGCACTGAGAAGGCAGTTCCAGAGAACCTCTCCACTGAGATGCAGGGAGATGCAGCCAGGAGTATGCAGAATTGCAAACCAGTTATAACACAGTGTCTCTTCTCATGAGAAATGCAGGGCCAGGAAAAGAGAAGTAAAGAGAAAAGCAAAACTATGCAGATTTCTTTAGACCCACTGGCCACAGAATAAGCTGGGGTTTTTGTTGCCTGTGTAAAGCAAGATAAGGAATACATGATACTATACTGTTATCATCTCTTTGTCAGAAGGCAGGATCACTTCTCTTCTTCCAGAAACGAAAGCCTAAGATTAATCTCAGGTATTTGCAAATGCATTTGCTAAACACAGATAGAACAGCCCTCTAAAACAATTTTAGGTGCAATTTTGAAATAAAAGTAAGGAGTTTATGCAACACAATTACACAGTTGAAGTTCATCCCTTCTGTTCATCATGTTTCATTGTACTTTTGGGGTGAACATTGCGGTAACAAGTAGTAACATTGGTATTTTTTGAAGCCACAGAAGGGAACTTAGGTCAAACTATTAGCAAAGGCTGTTCAAATATTGCACAGGAGCTTAAACTTACATGAAACTAAAAGACTACACAAGCTGTTAAATGAGTGAGGGAAGAAGGGAAAGTGTAGAAGCTAAAGAAAGAAGGCTCAGGTCCTAAGACAAGAAGTAGTTCTCATAGGTGGAATGCCATTCTTTCATAATGTGGGGGAAGCATACACATGTACACATATGTGCAACTGCAGAGGTACTGACTTCCAGTACTGTACACACTTCAGATGCTCCTCTACAGAATACTGTCACTTAAACTCCCTTGTAGGCACTCAGCTGCAATCCTAACTATATTACCAACACTCCACAAACAACAGGAATAGTCAGAAGCTCATTTTGACCAGCTTTCCCATACATGCAAGTGCAGTAATTTGCAGCTGATAAAAATTACTGAAATACTCCTCAAACAAAACATGGCTTCCAGAGACCAAATGCAAGATACCAATGTGCATCTTTAAATGCAAGCTCAGTAACTACATTATCATTACTAATACACAATTTTATTAACAAGGATTTCTTCTCCATAAGATCTCAGTAAGTTTTGGTAAAATTGCATATTATACTCATTTTACATATAAGAAAGAAATGCGAGTGCTCAATTCCTATTCAAAGCACTCTACAACTAAATTCTTTTATAATGCCAGCATAATGAGTTACCCAAGATCACACACAACAAGCCAGGACAGGAATTTATGAGTTGAGGATTATCCGTCCCCTATTTGTCAGGGAGATATGCCTTCTCTACAGCTTACACAAATACCTTAAATAATTTATCTCAAATGTTTTGCTTCTTTATTCCATAAGTGAAGCACTGCTTTTTCTTTTGTTGTGTTCACGCATGCACTCCCATATGTTGCATCAGACATTAACTGACACCTAAGGAAACAATGCACATCAAGCCATGATGATGCATTTTAGTAACAATGACCACACTGAGGCCTTTGGAGATAACAAAATTCTAGTAAGAGCTATCCTTTTAAAAAACTGTAACATGAGATACATTTGCCACACCAACACTGTTAAACACTTCATTGTGAACAGATTTTTCCTTTATTAAAAATGCAGTCAGAATGAGCAAGGAAAGGCTCCTTTTAGGCAGATGCTGACACAACAACATCAGGATGATGCAGAATAATGACTGTAACAACTCACATACATTTTGTGCACCCTGCAGGATACACC